TTGTGGTAGGTCTCCTTCTGTCCGGGACTATTAACATTTCCTATATATTTTTATCTTGCTTTCACTGTTAAAATATTTTTCCGTGCTTATTTAAATGTAGTGTTGTGCCCTTGTGAGCGGTTTTCATGAGAACCCTCTACACTCCACGATGGCGTTCTCACTACCCCTTCACCCTTGTGCTGGGAATGTTGATCAGTCTGACAAATTGTTACAAAGCCCTCCTTCCCTAGGTTTTATCAAAATCTGCCTCTTGCCTGTATTATCCGTCTAATATCTACCTGGTTTAAGTATTTCACTCGACTCCTCCCACCCCATCTATGCTACTCGAGTCGTTATTACCCCTCCCCTGCGTCTGGGTGACTAATTCGAGGCTAACGCCCCTAAGTAATTCTCATTGTCAGACGTTTCGCTGGCATCATCAGTGAACATTTCTAGTCTTAGCACTACACTACAACTCGTCAAAGAGACAAGTGTGGGCGGCCCTTTGACCAATTGTCTGCTAAACAATGGTGGTATCTTTCCTTCCGCCCTAGGCTAATCGCCAATCGTATATCCTCGTATCACGCCTTCACTATCACAATTTTTACTTGCTTATTTAAATGTGGTATGGTGTGCCCTTTTGAGCGGTTTTCATGAAAACCCTCCACACGATGATGTTTTCACTCCCCCTTCACCCCTGTGCTGGGAATGTGGATCAGTCTGCCATATCGTTACGCAGTCCTTATTCCCTAGGTATTATCAGTCTCCCTCTTGCCCCAAAGGATCCGTCTGCTATATCTCTGGTTCAAGTATTCTACTCGACTCTTGAACCCCATTGGTGCTCCAGGAGGCGTTATTTCCCACGCTATGTGTCTGCTAGACTAACTTAGAACTAAAGACCCCGAGTAATTCTCATGGTCAAGCCTTTGCTTCATGGACCAGGTCTGTAGTAAAACATGCCTACTGTCGGCTCTAGTCACGTCCGCGTCTATTATGTTTCTATCCCTAATATCAGGTCTATGACCTACTATGCCCTAGTCTCTTGTGCTCCAACCCACAAATGTTGTGGTACTTTTTGCTTTGCTTAGGTTTAATGATGAATCAAAACATTTGTGAGTTGGCACAAAAAAGACTATGGCAAAACAAGCCATATACGGATAGAAATAGGATAGACGCGGCGGAGACTAAATCTAATTATCTGACAGTAGGCCTCGAATTCGTCACCCAGACGCATAGTGTGGGAAGTAATGCCTCGTGGAGCACAGATGGGGAGGCAGAGGTCGAATGAACTACTTAAACCAGGGAGATAGCATACAGATTCTACGGGGGAAGAGGGGGAGTCTGATAAGACCTAGAGAAGGAGGACTGCATAACAATATGGCAGGCTCTGTTCTACAGTCCTAGCACAAGAGTGAAGGGGGAGTGAGAACAGCAGCGTGGAGTGTTCTCATGAAAGCCGCTCAAAAGGGCTCACCACACCACATTCAAATAAGCACGGAAAAATTGTAACAGTGAACGCCTGATTCGAGGATATAGGAGATGTGAATGGCCCAGGACAGAAAGAGAGATACCACAACTGTTAAGCACAGGTTTCGTCAAAAGATCGGCTTCTGATGCTAAGAATGACAAGATTCCCTGACGATGCCGGCGAAACGTCTGAGAATGTACCACGTACACGGTACGACTTAGGAAATGATCATGAATACAATGGACTCCGGACTAGCTGCGTTGGTATAAGTCTTCCTAACAATATGACCAAGTTGTGAAAACAAGTCAAACAACTTCAAATACAACAAAGAGACTGCGACCACACAAAAGGCCACACCATCTTGGTCTTCATATAAGCGAGTTTATAGCATATTCTATTATTAATAAAAGATGTACACGATTGTCACTTATAATAAATATAAGTGAATTTTGTGTTGCTCACTAATTTGGCAAATAAGTATATTCCTTATGCGGGAAAAATATAAAATTTAAGAGTATAATAGTAACCTACCTTGTGAGGGTTGATCTCAGTTGACCTCCTGTAGCTGAGGCGATGAGGAAGTCAGCCATTTCAAGTCGTTGTTGTTGTAAATGATGCTGCCAAGATGTAGATTGACCTGAGGAAACCAGCTGATCTGACGGCTGAAAGGAAGTGGTTGGCCGGGATGAAGTTGATTGCTGCTGCTGCCGTTGCAGAGGCAGTTGCTGATGAGAGTATTGCTTTTGGAAAACTGATTGACTCATATCAGTCAAGACGCGTGGTTCGTAGAGACCGACCAACCTCCGCAACGGAATATCATCGGGGCGCAGAGACTGGGACTCCTGGTGGTAGTGCTGTAGAAGAGAAGAGGAATCTGAATTCTCTGGCTGCTCACTGCCTATACTACTGCCCCCTCCAGCACTGATTAGGCCATTTGCCATGTGAGTGCGGCCACCAGAGATACCGACAAGAGCACTAACTAAGCTAGTACGACCACAACTGCTTCCCTCGTAGAGATTGCAATATGAATCGGCCTCGAAGGAGTAAGCCAAATACAATGAAAGATGAATAAATAAATAGTGATTTAGTAAGACAGGAACCTGAGTAAGAGCCAGAAAGTGTAGAAAGTCTATTCAGAGGGCTGGAAAAGCTTTAATAGATTAAGTCAACAGGCAAGAGTAGCGTGTAATATGATGAATACTGCCGTAGGCCAATTAATTGAATACAATTGTTTGGACGAACACTTACCAAAAAGGTACGAGTTAGTGTTTACACTAAGGAACTTTATTCTTATTCAACGTATAGTATCAGTTTAGAAGGGTTTGGGTAAGAATCAGATGATCAACAGCTGAGATTATAAGCAAAATGGTTAACTGTAAAGTTTCATGTATATGAAGACCAAGACGGCGTGACCTTTTGTTTGGTCGCAGTCTCTTTTATATGTACAGTCTGATCTGGTTTTCGCAACTGGTTTGGGGCAACAAAGAGATCTTGTGGAACATACCTCGCCCTGCGTAA